TTATACTTAAAACATAGTTAAAGTCAACTTATTTATACCATGGTGAAATATACTTAAAAATCAATCATGATAACCAAAGAAGTTAAAAACAGAAAAATGCCAGCCTGGGAGTCAGTGCTAAAATTTCTTCCACACATGCCAAGAGAAACTTGCTATGAGTGAGTTCCTAAGAAGCTGTTTCAAGACCTCGTGAGGCATGTGACAGGACATCACACTCAGACGGGTATCTTCACCTTCTGTCTGTTATTTCTGTGGTCTCCTTTTAATCCCTTTAGTATCCTGATGAAATGAAGTTTATAAACAGAAGTTTGGGAATGGATCAACACCAGTACTGTCAAATATCTAAGTCAACAATTTAAATCCTTCAGTCTACTTACACCTTCAGAATGTGCAAAATCCTCTATGTCTCTGCGTCTTACAAAAGGGGTTTCACATACATGTTAGTTTCCAGCCTATGTTTGTGTCTAGGCTGTTATCTTCAGACTGTGTGTCTTTAAAGAAAAAAAAATTCCTATGAGTGAGTCAGACAGACTATGGTCAGAAATAAAAGACAAGTAGGGTGACTTTTCCAGTTAAGTAAAAGATGAAAAACAAATTCTTCCCATTAAGAACTGATTTATACATATTCTCTAAATTAACTCTTTGTGTCCAAACAACTATCAGAGGATGTAAATTTCCTTCTAATATTTGTCCTCTTGTAAAAATCTAACAAGTCAAAATATTTTACACACAGCTATTCCAAATCTACCTTTTTGTCATTTGTTTTCATTTTAAAGGTTTGGGTCTTGTCAATTATATTTGTATAATAATACTTTTATACTAAACATCTCATAGAGACCCAGTAAAAAGAACTCATTTCTGAAAGATGAATTTGGTCTTAAAGTCGTAGAACTGTTGATTATTGTCAACATGAATTCAAGAAAAAAAAACATAGAAAGTTGTGATTATTTAGCCTAAGCTAAAGTTTTCTTACACCTAACATGAAAATAGTCATTAAAATAGAAAGAAGGAAAAGTTTAACAGTCTTATAATAATCAAATATATGTTAATCATTACAAAGTAGCCTCATCTATTCATCAGGATAGACCATGGAGGATTTTTACTTGAAAACACTATTAAGAGCTACTTTAATTTATCTGAAAATAATTGAACACTCTTTCTCTTGGTTTTTCACTAAGCAAACTGGAATTCCTCCACTTAGCATTTTAGTGAGATTTCAGAGAACAAGAATTTCTTTTTATTTCTTTCAAATAAAATCACCATTCAGACTCTCCATTAATCACTACAGTATCACTACTAAGTAACACTGAAAAAGCTGGCTTCTGCAGAGATGTTTTCAACTAATACTATAATAAGTTGAATCCACAAAATCTTGTCAGCTACTCTCCAAATTCCAAACACATCTCTGCTCTGTAAAACAGGCAATGATGGGTTTAGCGGGGGAAAACAGCCTGTGAGATTACCATGTGTTCATCCTCTTTGGCTGGCAGAATAAGGCAACATAAGATGCCAACACTCAATGATTCAAATAAACCATGGCCAAGAGAGGGGTTGGGCTAGCTGCAGGTCAGTGCTCCAAATTAGTTCTATTCAACACATCTTTCCTTTAAAGCAGCTTCTTTGCAGTTTTCAGAATAAGAGATAATACAGGCAGAAAGAAAAAATTCAGAAGATAACGAAGTCAGTTGGCTTATTAAAAAATGAAAGGCAGGTCTTCTAAAGAGGAAATTTCATTGTGATGCTACCTTGAAATATACTCACTCAAAGGTAACTTGGCTTCATTTATTAACTTTGAGAGTAAAGACACCTTTTATTTTCACAGTTATAGATATTGTTAGAATTATACATGAGAACTAGGGTAATCAAAGGGAATTTTGATGGAATTAATTTAATTTTCATATAGCAACTTCCCCCACCCCCAACCTTGGCAGCTCAATAAATTGCCATGAAGCTATCATAAAGTAGAAATCCTTTCTAAAAGTAGTTTTATCTTCCTTCAGCCCAATTAGGAAATTAACAGACAATTAGATCAGATGCAATTCAAAACAGCTGATTTTTCTGGGGATATTAGTACATTTTTTCCTCAGGATCCAAGTTCTGAGACATTCAACTGTTTGGTTTGTAGTCTCTTCTCCTAAAACAACTGTGAAAGAGGAAGCGAGAGAGAGGGAAGGAGAAACTTTTCTCTCAGTTTTCTCCTTCAACTTGTAACCTATCCCCAAGGTCCTGAATCAAAAGCTGACTCTTTTGACCCTGCTAATATCTTGGCAATTTGAATGGCGGGGAGAGTAGAGGGGTTAAATTTACTTGTTTTACTTTCTGCCTCAACACAGAAACAAGAAGTGACCTCATCAGACATAAATACCACCCACATGTAAATGTCAGCTTTTCAGACATACAGAAAAGACTTATGCTTTGGATGTACTGCAGACTTTTCGCTTTCCTCTCTTGACTTTGGATTTGGAGGAAGAAGATTTTTTCCTGCCTAAATTCAGGACTGAGGCTCACTGGCCGAACTCTCCCCATTCCTTTAGGCCCCTGTGCAGTCAGTACCCTTAGTTCAGTTCAGTTCAGTCACTCAGTCCTGTCGGACTCTTTGCGACCCAATGGACTGCAGCACACCAGGCTTCCCTGTCCATCACCAACTCCCAGAGCTTGTTCAAACTCATGTACATGGAGTCGGTGATGCCATCCAACCATCTCATCCTCTGTCGTCCCCTTCTCCTCCTGCCTTCAATCTTTTCCAGCACCAGGGTCTTTTCCAATAAGTCAGTTCTTCACATCAGGTGGCCAAAGTACCGGAACTTCCTTCAGCTTCAGCTTCAGCCTCAGTCCTTCCAATCAATATTTAGGACTGACTTCCTTTAGGATTGACTAGTTTGATCTCCTTTTAGTCCAACTGTGGAAAATTCTTAAAGAGATGGGAATATCAGACTACCTTACCTGCCTCCTTAGAAATCTGTATGCAGGTCAAGAAGCAACAGTCAGAAGAGGAGATGGAACAACGGACTGGTTCCAAATTGGAAAATGAGCATGTCAAGGCTGTATATTGTCACCATGCTTATTTAACGTATATGCAGAGTACATCATGCAAAAATGCTGGGCTGGATGAAGTACCAGCTGGAATCAACACTGCCGGGAGAAATGTTAATAACCTCAGATATGCAGACACCACCACCCTTATGGCAGAAAGCAAAGAAGAAATAAAGAGCCTCCTGATGAAAGTGAAAGAGGAGAGTGAAAAAGATGGCTTAAAACTCAACATTCAAAAAACGAAGATCATGGCATCTGGTCCAATCACTTCATGGCAAATAGATGGTGAAACAATGGAAACACTGACAGACTTCATTTTCTTGGGCTCCAAAATCACTGCAGATGATGACTGTAGCCGTGAAATTAAAAGGCGCTCACTCCTTGGAAGAAAAGCTATGACAAATCTGGACAGCATATCAAAAAGCACAGACGTTACTTTGCTGACAAAGGTCCATGTAGTCAAAGCTATGGTTTTTCCAGTAGTCATGTATGGATGTGAGAGTTGGTCCATAAAGAAAGCTGAGCACCAAAGCACAGCTTTTGAACTGTGGTCAGAAGACTCTTGAGAGTCCCTTGGACCATTAGTTAGGTTCAGTGATGTTTTTAAAAACCTGCTTCCTGTAAGAGAGGATTGAGAAATGTGAACAGAAAGCAGCCTGGGACAGCTGGCCTCACATTCTCTTTTCTTGCTTCCTTCAAAATTTGGAAAATCGTTGCTCCTATAATGCTTGTGAAAAATAACAATTTGTTGGGCTTTGCTGAGTCTGAAAGGTTTTGTTTTTTCCCCTGCATTTGTGGGAAAGGTAAAGTTCATGGCCAAAGTAGAATTAAAATGTCAACGTGAGGAGGTAGAGGGGATAGGAGGTGGTTACTAGGAAGAAGTCAGGGACAGGTTTCCAGCTTCCTGGCACTGGCTAGACCTGCGATTCGGTGCCCGCCTCCTACCGGTTTTCCCAGCTCAGTACTGGCAGCCTCTGGCCACGCTGCGGAGCCCGGGCTGCGAGGCAAGGAGCGCGCTCAGGCGACGAATGCTCGGGCCTAGAGATGCCCTAACCCAAGGAAGCCAGAGTCGAAACTCTTACGTTCAAGGATGGACAGCCGGACCTGAGCGAAAGCGGGGAGTGTGACTCAGGGAGGCTGCGCCGGCTGGCGGTGATCCGTTCCCGCGCACAGCGCTGCGCGGCCCTTACTCTTGACCCGGGGCTTGCGGGTCGAGCCCACCCGGGGCCCAGGGCGGTTCGAAGCGAAGTGATCCCAGCAACGAGGGTGGTCTTCCCTGGAGTGTTCGCTTTTTTGTCCCCAGAAGAGAAATGGATAAGGCGGTTGTTGCCCTCCTCCGAAACTCCTGGAGAGGGAGGGCTGGTGTAACGCTGGGAGGGATGTTCATTCTGCCTCACGTGTGCGCCCGGACCGCGGCAGGCTGCAGAAACCGCGGAGCTCAGCCACGAGACAGCCCGGCTGCTAAAAGCAGACTTGCCTGAAACTGTACCACAGAGGTGGCTTTATTTGGTTTTAATTTTCTTTAAATAAACTGCATTGTAGTTAATTAAAGAAACGTTTCAGTCACTGAGGACTTCTCACCATTTATAAACCGAACTGGAGATAAAAAGCCAACTTATAAATCGAACAAAACCAAAATTCAACCCCAAAACTGTTTGACTTAAAATGCTCATGTTTTAAAGACAAACGTATCTTTAAAGGCGCATTTGTTCGCAGTTTTTAATAGCCTGTGAATCACTGTGGGACTTTCTGTTGTATTTAAACTGTATTTAAACTCTAGTTATTCACTAGAGGTCATTTCTATCAGTAATCCACGCTGTCACTTCCTTGGGTCTGGGCTCTCAAAGCTCGCAAACGCTACCCTCTCTGCTCTCCAAGTACGCCCCACAGGTATTTTCGTAACGTGCTTTCCCCCACCTGACCGGATGTATAAAAAGCCTCGCCTCAATACTTTCCTAAACTCTAAGGACCGGGCACATCAGAGCTGGGGGAGGGGTGCTTGGAAAGGATGGAAAGCGTCGCAGAAAGCCGGTCCGAGCCGGGAGAGCTCTCAGGAAAGAGAACGGCGATGCGCAAGGCGAGTTTCACAATTGGAGTGTATCCTCTTTCCCAGCTGCTGTATTACCGGCTGAAGAGTGAGCAAAAGCCCTCTCTGACCTCCCTGCAGTGCCTAAGATAATTCCTCTTGCAGCCAACGAGTCCTTGTTCCAAAAAGTTACTGAAACTTCAAAGGTCGCCGGCCGAGGAGACTCGGGGCGGCCGGGGGCTGGGTAACCACTCCTGGACTCCTCGAAAGCAGCGAGTACCGGGAGGAGCCGGAGGCGGGGCGCGAACAGCGCGGACCCAGCAGGTTCTGATGCAGGACACACAGGAGAAAGGGGCGGGGATCTTACTCTAGAGGGGCAGTAGGGGCCCGCCCCAGTGAATGGAATTGAGAGGTGTGGGAGCTGACGGCGCGTAGATCGGCTCCGAGGGTGCGCGAAGGAGGTGCCGCAGGGCGATGGTTACACAGGCTTCGGCTGCAGCCGTTTCCCCGCAGAGGGAGCTCCTCCGCGCGGAGAGGAGTTCCCGGACTCTGACATCCTATTTGCGAAGATCCGGATCTCCTAGGGGATTCCTGGGGATGGCGCCGTTCCTTCCCCCAGGAGCCGAGCGCAGAGACTCTCCCTCACCTAGTCACCCCAGAGGCACACGCTCAATTCTCCACTGTGAGGTCGGGACTCTCCCCAAAGACCTTTCCCCACCACGCCACAACTTCCTCTCTCCAAATGTAAGATCCCCGGTTCCCCCCTCTCCTCTCCGTCCTCCCGCCCCTCCGGCTTTAGCCCGGAAAATCCCTACTCCTCCCGGTGCGAAGCCTCAGGGCTCAAGGTCCGGGCTGCGCAGGTCGCCGCACCCCTGGCCACAGGCTCGCCGCGGGGTGTCCCGGGGAAACGCACCGGCAGCCCCTCGGTCCCTAGTCCCTCTCACTCCATTGGCCCCCCGGTCCCCGCCCCGACGCCCCCCACCCCCCGCCTCTGCGGCCCAGGAGTGGCGTCAGCACGCCTGCCCCGCGTGGGGTTTAAATGCCCACTAGCGGGAGCCCGGGCGCTTCCAGCTCGGAGCGCGGTGGCGGCTGGAACTGCAGGGGTGGGAAGGCAGCGTGCGAGCGGGAGCCCGAGCCGCGGAGCGCGCTGCCCCTCGCTCCGCCGCGGATGACTCGGGAGCTCGGGGCCAGGTGGCGCCCAGGCAGCATCCCTGCCCTCCGCCGTCCGAGGAGAGTTGACCGTAAAACATTTAAAAGTCTCCGCTGCGGGAAGCCATGAGCTGTCTGGATGTTATGTACCAAGTCTATGGTCCTCCCCAGCCTTACTTCGCAGCCGCCTACACCCCCTACCACCAGGTACGTGTCTCCTCTCGTTCGGGCCGCGTAGACAGGTGGCGCGCCCCGGCGGCCCAAGTACTGCCAGTACTCCGAGGTTCCCGGTACCTCCTCGCCGGTCCAAGGGAGGCCGACCAGCTTCAGATACGGGGATTGCCAGCACTGCCACCCAACAGGTTGAGCTAACCCCTTTAGCTTGCCCGTTTGCTCTCTCGGGAAGGCAGCTAAAGCCCTGCTAATACGCGCCCCGGATTTCCTGGGAATAATCAGACCAGGATCGCGCGGACCGCGTTGTTTCTTTGGAGTGTGTTGGACTCCAGATTGTTCCGAGCCCCATGCCGGCTCGTGGAGATGCCAGCAAAGCTCACGCAGAGAAAACCAAACTTTGGTCCCAAACGTGAGAGTGACGACGAAACAAAGGCAAGGGCCTGCCTCTGTCTTTCTGAAATGCAAAGATTCGCGTTCTCATCCATGCAAGCTTATCAAAGCCTTTTTTATCCCCGTTTCAATTCTTAAGCGATCAGGCCAGTTAATTTAAGAACCAGCAAATTCGTTATAAAGAGAACCGCACGAAACTCGCTAACTTTATAATCTTTGCTTTGCAAAGTTCTGGGGAATATTATTGACCCAAAGTTCTGGGTACGATTGACCCAAAGTTCTGGGTACGATTGACCCAAAGTTCTGGGTACGATTGACCCGGCAGGGGCCAGTTTCATAGATAATATTAATACTTCGCCTTTCGCTAGCCTGAGTAGCTGAATCCGGCTGCCCTGCCATCAACAAACCCACTTTCAAGAGAACCAATGGCCCCGGTTCTGCAAACCCTTCAAGTTTTGTTTAATTATTCCAATTTTTCTATTCTCTGGGTATTTTCTGATTGAACATTTTTCTTTTCAGTCCTCGGCTGATGTAGTTTAAACTGGTGACAGTAATCAAGGAAATGAATAAGATCATACACTCCAGTGGGTGGAGTGGGGATCCCCTAGGAGTCCTGAGCAGGTTCCAAAGTGAGAGTCTGGACTCCTGTTTTGAGAAAACTGAAATACACCCTGGTATTTTGAGCCCGTTTTTTGCCAAATTTTGCTTGCAAGATATATATTTGAAATTTCCTGATGAATTAATGATGGAATGGGTAGGTTTTGCATTTTGGTTTTTGCTTTTTCCCCTCCTCCTCTCCTTTGTAAAACTTTGCAACTAAGAGTTTATTTAGTCTCAGTGTTAACTTCAGGAATCACCAGAGTCTCTCATTTTAAGCCAAGTGGGAATATGGTAGAAATGGTGATGTAGCTAAATAACTTCAGTCCTTTAGCTTCAGTGTCTAAGATGAGCTTCTTCCCAGGCTGGGAGTATTACAAAGAGAAAAAGGTGGGTTGGTTTTCCATCTGTTTGGTCCTTTCTCCTCCCTGACCCTGGACCAATCTATATCACCAAGATCTCTGTTCAGTTTTGTATGATCAGGGTCCCCCTTGAAGGACACCTCTGTCTGCATATTGCTTTAGCATTGCATTGTCCATTGCTCATTGCTAATAAAATGTTTTCAGCAACCACATTTGGTTTTGTAAATCACTATCAGGCAGTCATGATTTACCCAACCTCACAGCCAGGATCATCCTCTGCTTCTCTTCATTTCTTTTTTTTTTCCTCAATACACACTGATGGTGAGGATAGAAATAGCCCACTGGTTTTTCCTTTCTCAAAAGAAGGTCTCCCTAGAAGCTGAGACTTTTAAAATGGCCAGTTCATGGATGACCACATACCAAATTCCGTTTATTAAAATGATCCATATCACGTTGTTATTCCATATTTTTACCCCATAGCAGTTCTTGCATCCTGGTTGTGTGAAGTTCATTTTGTTACCTTCATGTTCTATCACAAAGATGCTTAATCTTGCATCTTGTATATCTGCCCTGAATTCTCAGCAAGGAACAGTCAGGCTGTAACTGGACTTAGGTGCCCTTTACCCTTGGAGCCTGATTTTAAAAATATATCTGCCTTGAGCCTGCCTCTGCGGTCAAACTGCTTAGCCTTCTTCCAGGACCTTCACCCTGACACCTTCAGACAGTTTTCTCTGTGGCCTAGCAACAATTCTGGGGAGACAAGCTCCAAGAAGGACCTCATCTCTCAGGAACCCCACCTTTGTTCAGCTGCAGGTTGGAAGGCCTGCGGACTGCGGCCCACATTATTGAGGTTATTGAGGACCCGGCACAGGCACTCACAGAAGGCAGTTGCTCCTGGTTACCTTAGGGATCCGGATGAGGGAGTGCAGTCCGAACCCAACTTGTTCTGTCTTTTGAAATTGACTTCTCTATTGTTTCTCCTTGGAGCAGAAACTAGCCTATTATTCCAAAATGCAAGAAGCCCAGGAGTGCAACGCCAGCCCCAGCAACAGCAGCGGCAGCGGCAGCTCCTTCTCCAGCCAAACTCCGGCCAGTATAAAAGAAGAAGAAAGCAGCCCGGAGAAAGAGCGCCCACCAGAGGCGGAGTACATCAACTCCCGCTGCGTCCTTTTCACCTATTTCCAGGGAGACATCAGCTCCGTTGTAGACGAGCACTTCAGCAGGGCCCTAAGCCAGCCTAGCAGCTATTCCCCAAGCTGTTCAAGCAGCAAAGCCCCGCGGAGCTCCGGGCCCTGGCGGGGTAAGTACGGGCCTCGCCAGCAAGAGGGGGTTGAGAGCTAGCACAGCCTGGGGTCCACCTGCAGAGGCGGCTGAAAGAACTATAGGTGTTAGAGAAGAGGTGAGATGGGGCATCGGGGGAGGGTAAGGAAATCGGAGGAGGAATAGATACAGGCAGGCATAAGATCTCTTCTCGAGGAGGCAGGGCAGAGCAGTGGCCTAGGAAAATCAATAGCCCTGAATTGGGAGCCCTTGGTTTGTGCATTGGATTCCACCACTCCCTAGCAATATGACCTTGGGCAAGTCTCTTAACCTCTTGGAGGTCATTCTATTTACTGGTCTCTAAAATTAGAATAACACTTGCCCTCTTAACTACCCCTGGAGATGACAGTGAGGCAACTAGAAAATATATGTAAATGTGCTATGGAAATATGAGGTTTCCAACAGTCTCCCAAGTCAGGTGTGGGGGTTGGGGGGAGGTGGATCTTCAAGTACAATAGCTTTCAGGGCCCTGAGTTCCTTTCTGAAAATGTCTCCAAAGAAAAATGTCTGAGAATGCATTGCAAGCAAAACCTGCTGAACAGTCTCCTAAAACCTACTTATGCCTTTTGCCAGATTTCAATTAATTGGGAAATCTTGAAGCAGAGAATGTCTTTCAATAAGCAAGTAAAGTAAAAAAGAAATAAGACTTTAAGGGTAGCCAAAACACATCTGAAGGTTTTCCCCAAACACATCCCCTCTTTATTACTTTACCATTCTCACAAAGCCCTGCTCTAGCTACCCTGGGACAATGGCTTCTTGGACAAGTCAGGGAGCTCTCGTTCTATTCTGAAGTCTCCACCTTCCTTTATTACGGACACAAGGGTGGAGGTAACTATTTGGCAAAATTTCTCACTAATCTTAGTTTTTGATGTGTACCAAGATGAGAAATGAGGACTTTATTGTAAAAAACGAAAACAAGTATTACATTTTGGGGGAAATGACAACCATCGACCTTCCATTTTTTTCTTAAATCCGATAATTTGTACAAACCTTGCCTAGACAAGATCCAAAAACAAAACATTCCTGTTATTCTCCAGTTGCCTCAATGTTTTTAATAGACTGTTCACTACTTAGAATGCATTTTCGAAACATTTTAAATTATCGACTATGAAGTGCAGATGCCTTCTCCAAGGTCCTTTTCATTAAATGCCTTTCCTTCCTTTCCTCCCCACTAAAGGCAACAAATTTGATCTAAATGCTGCTCCCTTAAAATGCTTCCAGACACTAGGGGTCAACAATGACACGGACAATAATAATTATTATAATTATATTATTCCTGGGGCCCACACTTTGATGCATAAAGTTTGTTAATTAAAACGGAAAAGACGTGTCCGTTAGTGTCCCTCTGTGCAAATAATACAGCTGCCCTTTTAACTTGTCAAGTTTACTTTGGGGGGGGGGGAGCTTTTTGAAAGAAAGTTTCTAGAAAGGAGGCTAATAATAGCAAGACTCCGAAATATGTCGATGGACTTCCAGTCTATCAGAGGCCTTGGAGGGGCACGGTTTCTGGAGTAAGGGAGGCTGAAATGCGAGAGGGGGTAGTGAGATCGCTAGGCGACCGACCAAGAGCGGGAAGAGGTAGCTTTAGCTTGAGAAGAGGCTGCAGGCCCGGAAGGCGAGGCCGTTTCTGGCCCGAGGTGGCCCGGCTCGGAGTCCGAGGGAAGCTCCCCGCGCCCCGAAACTGGGGCTGGGGAAGGAAGCGCCGCAGTTCCTCTCCCCGCCATTCGCGGGGTTCCCGCAGCGGGAATACGTCCACCACTTGCGAGGGAGCGGCGCTCCTCCCGGACCTCGCGTTCCCAGGCCGCAGCCCCGCGAGACAAGCGCCCTTCCCGCCCTTGGCCCATCCGGAGCCATCAGCTCTGCGGCGGCCGCGGGGGGTCGGTCGGCGACCGTCTCCCGACGGTGACGCGCTCCTCTCTCTCCCTTCCCTTCCCTCCGCCTCGTCCGCCCGAAGACGGCTCCTACCCCATGAGCCAGCGCAGCTTCCCCGCCTCCTTCTGGAACAGCGCTTACCAGACGCCGGTGCCCGCGCCGCTGGGCAGCCCTCTGGCCGCCGCGCACTCGGAGCTGCCCTTCGCCGCCGCCGCCGCCGCCGACCCCTACTCACCGGCCGCGCTGCACGGCCACCTGCACCAGGGCGCGGCTGAGCCCTGGCACCACGCGCACCCGCACCACGCGCACCCGCACCATCCGTACGCGCTGGGCGGCGCCCTCGGAGCCCAGGCCGCCGCCTACCCGCGGCCCGCCGCTGTGCACGAGGTCTACGCGCCGCACTTCGACCCGCGCTACGGGCCGCTGCTGATGCCCGCCGCCTCCGGGCGTCCGGGCCGCCTCGCGCCCGCCCCGGCCCCCGCGCCCGGCAGCCCGCCCTGCGAGCTCTCCGCCAAGGGCGAGCCGGCCAGCGCCGCGTGGGCCGCGCCCGGGGGACCCTTCGCGAGCCCCGCGGGGGACGTGCCCGGGGGTCTGGGCCTCAGCGTGGACTCAGGTAAGCGAGAGAGGGGATGTGGCATCCCCGGGCCCCTCCTGCCTTGCGCCCCAAACTGGGCTGAGCCGGGGACCCCATTTAGTTCTCCTTGGAGACCCCAGTGACCCTGAGGCGTGAAGGTCTGCACACAGCGGGGTTGTGTTTCAGCAGACAGATGACTCTGTCATCGGTGTGGACAAAATGAGAAAGTGGCCGGTTAATATTACAGAGGATTTTTTAAGAATAAAATTTGTCAGAGAGGTTCTAGCTCTGTGCTGTTCAGTACCGTAGCCAGCAGCCACGTGTGTCGGATGAGCACATGAAACGTGGCCAGGCTGAATTGGGGTGTGCTGTAAGTGTATAATACACACTGGATTTCAGGACTTTGTCCCCAAAAAGAATGTAAAATTCATCTTATTATATTTTATACTGATTGCATGTTTCAACATTGCACACTAAATATATATTGGGTTAAATAAAATATATTACTAAATTAATTCTCACCTGTTTCTTTTTACTTTTTTTCAATGTGGCTGCCAGACAATTTAGAATTATACCCATGGCTTCCATTGCTTCTATTGGACAGCGCTGATCTAGAGTACCTGCTAAGAATGTAGTTTAAAATCCTCTACAACTTGAGGGGCAGAGAAGGTCTTGTCACCCAGTGATAGTTACAAGTCATACAAATATGACCCATGACTGATAACAACTTAATTGCCAACTGAAATAAGTTTCTTGAAAACAGAAAACTTAACAAGAATATGTTGTTAGTGATAATATTACGTCCCTAGCTTAAAGAGTTGAATTTGAAAGTTACATTCAAATAAGGGTTTACTTTTTTGTTTGCTTTATTTTTAGAGCAAAATGAAAAAAATTGCATAATAAATGGGATTGTAGTCTTGCCCCACTCTCTGTTCCCTCAGGTGCAGGTGTGACATTTGTTTGCTTTGCTTTTACTTTCATCCATGCCCTAGATGAATTCTGTGACTTTCACAATAAAACACTGGTGTTTGTCTTTCTCTTTCTTTAAATACCTTGTGCCTTCCCTCCCCCACCCCCTTCTCTCTCCCTCTCTCTGTCTCTTCTCCCTCTCTCTCTCTCCCTTTTATTTTCTCTCTGTTTTCAGGTTTGCAGCCTCAGGACAAAAGCAAGGATCTGTACTGGTTTTAGACAACTCACCTTCTTCCCTGTAGGTCTCTGCATAGTGCAATTGGTGACACTCAGAGCTGAAATCAAGTGGGTTTGTAACAGCTTCTGATCTTGGTTTGCAGCTCGTCGTTATTCCCTCTGTGGTGCATCCCTCCTGAGCTGATCTGCTGACCTTCCCCCTGCCCCTTCCCTTCTGACCAGCCATGGAGGCTCAGCATCTGTGCCTCTCACTTCATGGATGAGGACTTGGGGGAAGGCAGAGACTTCAAACTGCTCCGTGTATCGGGAGAACCAAAACACACGCGACAGAATTTTCATCTAAAAATAATGCCTTCTGCCAAAAGAGCAGACCCAGACTCTTGAATTAAGCTCAGTGACTTTTGGGCAAATCACTGGAACTGTCCGTGGTGAGATCACTCAGGTGACAATATGTCATGGTTTTCTTGGAAAGAAGGAAAGAAGAAAGAGACGTTTTGGTGTGAATATTTTTTTTATGCTGGTGTGAATTATTTCATTAAGTAGTGGGATCACAGCACTGCTGACGTCAATATCCTCACATTGAAAATGTCTTTGTATTTGCATCGAAGACTGTATGGTAGAGAAGTCAAAAGAAGCCAATTCTTTCTTCCTCACCTGTAGCCTCCAGCTCCCTTCCTGCCCACTCCCTCCCTGCAACACCCACTCCAGACACAAAGACACACCTTTTCCTTCGGACTGTGAACATGGAAGCCTCAGCCTGAATGTGAGTGGCAAGTGGCTTATCTGGAGCCACCTGCCCAAGTCTTACTGAAATGCAGCTGTCGTAGGACAACTGTTTAAAACTCCAGAAATACATCGACCAAGGTGGCACTTCCCAGTGTTTGGCACAACAATTGCAATTGCACTGGATATGTTTTATACATGTGTGTATATCATATTTTTTACAAAGGACATTATATGATGAAAGAAAAAACTCTCTCTGCCTTCTCTCCCACAAGTTCTGTCCCTCCCTCTATCCTCCTCTGGATGAAAGGGGAAAAAATTAAGCCTCTAGAGACCCCAATGGTCTCCAAGAAGAACTAGGAATCACCACAAGGGGAAGAGATGTCCGTGGAGTCTCGGGTACCTCAGATATTCTTCTCAGTCTCTATGGTCATGATTTGATCACTTTGGTATTGGGACAGGGGAAGGGGTACATGTGTGGGCAAAACTGAAGGTGATGAAGAAGAAACGAACATTAAAGATGTTTGTTTACCACTAGGTTGCTGTGTTATTTCTTTGAAGGAAAACAAATGTCTTAGTTTTTCTCTAATAGAATAAAATAATTTATAGTAGTATAACCTGATGTCAGTAAGTAAAATCACTTTGTATAAGTATTTTTGGTTTTCCAAAGTGTTTGCCATGCCATGAAATCTGAGAACTCCTTTCCACCTTGTATCAACCTTGGAGATGAGAAAGTAGGTGTTCCCTCTCTGTTTCATAAATGAGAAAATCATGGCCCAAGGAAGCCCGGGTTACTTGATAGTCCTCATCAAGTAAAAGAAATGTATAGGAAAACCGACTTGTGCACCACTCAGTCAGATACACACATTATTCTCCAAAAGAGAATTATTGTTACTTCCTAGATTCTAGACTCCTAAAGATAGTAAAGTACTCAGTTTAAAAATGTTTTTGAAATCTTGGTGGTTTTATACTTCGATCAGCTAGGCTAAGAAACCAAACGTACAACTAAGCCAAAAAAAAAAGAGAGAGAATTTATTAAAAACTTAATGGTTTTATGTTCCCTTGATGCCAAGGTTATTTGTGTTTTTTCCCCTAAAGAGAAAGAGTTAATGTTGTGCCCAAATTGCCCTTGAAGGCTGTGAAAGCATAAAATATTAATTCAAATCTTGATCTTCATTATAATGTGTCTGATTTTTTGCAGCCCCATTTACTGAAGCCTGCCAGGCTCCTCTGCCCATGGGGATTCTTCTCCTTCTTCATTATAACACAGGAGGCAAATACCATTTATCTTGGATAATATTCTCAAGAGTTGGTTGCAGTTAGGGGACCTTATTCGGAGCATGGCTTAGCAGAGTTACCCATCTCTTCTATCATTTGGTACCTGTTAAGTAGACTGTGATCATTAAAGAACCTGCTACTGGTTTTGCTCAGATGGAAGGTACTATGTGATTATATTTCCCCAGGTATGATAGCAATCAGTAATAACTATTAATAATTGCATTGTATATAGCAATAACAAATATTAATTGTTTATCATTTTTCCAGACACTGGTCTGAGGGCTTTACATATAGGTTAACTCCCTTAACCTCACAACAATTCTGTGTGGCACTTACTACTACAGAGGCTCACAGAGGAGGAATAATCTGCCCAGTCACACAGCCAGTAAGTGGCAGAGCCGGGAAACCAACCCAGGCATCCAGGGGGCAGAGACTGTGCTGTTGCCCACTTCAGTAACTGCTGATCCACTTCTGACTTGTCTTGAGATGCTCAACTTTGGCTTACTTTCTCCTCCACAGAAGATGAATAAAGAAGGGAAAAGAGGCAGGGCAGCAAAGACCAGCACACTAGAATGTACAGAGTCCCAGGTCTCAAAGGAAATATCATAGGATATTGTCCAGACTCCTACCTCCAGACCATGCAGCCAGATGCCGATTTCCATTCATCTCTAGGAAGGACTTATTATTGTATCTCTTATTAATTCATTTCAGTATTTTTAGCCTTCTTTGCTCTGAAGGTCTTCACACCCAACCTAACCAAGTCATGTTAAGCATGTTAGTCTGAGGTTTGGACACTGAAGCAATAACTAAAATTATCTTTGGACTTCTCTGTGATTTTTTAAATCCATGTTCCATTGGCATGGATCACCAGTGTATACAAGCATAAATAAAATGTGTTCCCTTTGAGCGCACTTTTAAAAACTTGCCAATGAGTGTACAGATGAAGACAGCAAGTGTCTTCTCTGCTGGACATCTTTTCCTAGTAGTCTGTTCCCTCTCTCAGAAGCTTCCCTGAGCTCCACCTGTGTTAGCACTCAAGATCTCTGATCAGAACCCACAGGGAGCCTTTTCCCAGCCATGAGGTTCTGATTACTGAAGCAGAGCTGCTTCTCTCCTGAGCTGCATCTGACCTGAATATCAGGTTACTGGTGAGGAGACTCATTCACTGGAACTGGCCTTCGGGGCGGCCCTGAACAGACCTTCCAGGCTGCCGAGCAGGGCTCCGGTGACCTGGCGCGTGGAACACTCAGAGCACAGCCCTTCCCTCCATGTTTTACGTTCCCGAAGGAGAAATGCAAGAAGCCCTGGGACTCCCACCATTCAGATCTGCGTTAATAGATTCAAAGGGAACTTTGGTGAATTCGTAGCCCTGACATTTCTTCAACATTCTGTTAGGCCTACCAAGTCATGGAAAGGATGAAGTCTCATGCTTGTCTTGCTAGTATTCGTGAAACCATGCAGACTAGAGGAGGCCCTAGTAGTTGAAAAAAAGACATTGAAGGAAAAGAGGGATGCCTTGAGAAAGGTAAACGTGACGTGTTTGCATATATTATGCCCGGTAGGGGGTCTCAGAGAGATGAGATTCTGCTCTAATCATCCCAGTTGGCACCGGTGTCCTTCTTACCCACAGTTTTCCCTTTGCACTTGGCCTCCGCTGAGGGAGAGGTGACGAAAAGGGGAGAGACAGCTCTCCGCTACCAAGTAATCCTGTTGCCGATTGCCCTCTGGCTGAGAACTCAGTCACCCAACTGCAGGGAACTCTATCTGTTCGACTCTGGTTTAATAGGAGTTGCCGTCTTGTCTCACTTCCCCTTTGAAGTTCTATTTCAATGCGTGGCAAATTCTAGCAATGACTTAAGATTGATTCAGGCCTGGATGGGAGGGAGGGCAGAGGTGGTGGGTGTTGGGAACGCAGACTGCCTGACTGGAAGCTTCCCTTGCCACTCTTCCTGGGTAAGTACTGCGTTTTCTGTGCCCTTTCAAACTGGGGGAAACAACTCATAAGGTAATTTTAACCTCCCATTTATTAATACTTAGAATCATAAATCCTGTGCTTATATGCAGGCACCCATATACCTTCTGTCAAAATAAACAAGCTTTTTTTTTTTTTAAACACTTAGTGATTCATTACTTCAGAGTTGGAGGAGATTTTAAAAAATAAAACTTAAGGTGCTTTCCATATGAATGCCATTTCCATAAGCTGCATTTTTAAACATAACTCACCCGGTATCAAAGCATGGAGGAAAAACAGAAAGATACTCGAAAAGACTTTAAATGAAACCAGAAAATATAAGATTCCTTTATAAAATTGTTTTAACAATCAGTGGATCATTTGCATGCAGATAATTCATGTTTTGATTATACCTGTGAAAGTCTTTGCTCTCTATATTCCCTTCTTCCTTGCAAGAGTTTTAGGATTTATCATCATTCATTATTTGTTGCATATTTCTAAAATCTGGAGTTAAGGAAAAAGCATCCTAAAGGCACTATCATTATTACAGTTGCTCTCTTGCATGTAACTGATGTTTTGACGTTTAAACAAACAGGGTAAAGCAAACATAAATTTCATACTTCCTTATTACCATTTCTGCTTCCTGTCCCATAAATAAATGAAATTCATAATACAAATACAGGATCCACACGACAGAATCTGTTTATCTATAAATACCACATACACACACACACGATAGAATCTGTTTATCTACAAATACCACATATGCACATGATAAAATCTATTTATCTACCAATACCACATACATTCACACACATCACTAATGCAGGCCTAAAGAGAAATCAGAGACCCCATGCCCTCAGACAGACACAGACACAAATGATTATTCTCACTTGACACCAACTGTACCACTCTTTCCTTGTATTTCACTCCAGCCCCAGAGGGCTGGATCAGGAAAGAGACACTTGATAGCTGCTGTTTCCATGGTTGGAATATTTGTAAAGTTAACGCATAATCTGAAAGCAGAAGCTAATAAATTATAGGGTGCTAATTGGAGCTGGAACAGAGCTGTCAATCATGTTACCCTAAA